AAAAAAAAACCATAAATGGCAATATATATATATATATATGCATATACAATTATCGACAGAAAGAGAGAACCTCGGAAACGTAATAGCAGAAGGATGGGGTGGGAATTGTACAGAAGTTGTGACACCGGGTTTTGTTTGGGGTCCTGATTCCTTCCCAAATCCCAGGGATGACATTCTTCTCGCTACGTACTTATCTTGCTTCTACCGTTTTTTCTTCTTAATTTAACGTACTCTATACTTGCAGTTTAGCTGGTTCAATCAAATAACAAGAAAAGGAAAAATTAGGGTTTTCCAGATACAATAACGCTCCCCTTCTCGGTTCGTCATTGCTGACTCCCCCATCCATCGATATCGAAGAAAAACTAAAGTAGCTATAAGGTGTAGACAAATCGTCCAACAGGAAGCTATGGCAGTCTCCGGCACCAAGGGAGCACCAATACCTGGTAGCCGATAGCATCAGCTGAAAATATGTATCGATCATAACATGCTTCGAAGCGTTACCAACTGCATCAGCAGCAAGTCTCCATGTGATGCACGGAAGGATAGACTTCGTTACTAGCTGAAACGCAAAAACTTGGTTTTGAACCGCGCACCGGAAAGGAGGGAGGGAGGGAGGGAGAAGGGACCTGCTCGTTATAGTTTACCAAGCATGAATTTCTTGTCCGTAAATCTGAGGCAAAGGGAAAATTATAAATTAAATTAACCGACGTTTGATGAAGTAAGAATTTGGTTTTCTCCGCCTCCAAACAGGATTTTGATTACACCATGTTTCACTCCCCAAATAAAAAGGAAAATTAAAGTTTTAAAAAAAGAGCGGGCAAGCCCAGCCCTAAAAGCCCGGAAAAAAACCCAACATAGGGCGTTAGGCCCAGTCGATGGTGATAAAGAAACGGTGCCGTTTTGCAAATAAGGAGAACGCTCCAGGTTCTCCCCTTTTGCTTATTAGGGAGGGTATTATGCCCATCTCCTCCCTCTGTTTCAATCTTTGTATGACCGTGTTGACTGTAACAAGGAATTGTGTTTGAAGCTGTGATTTATGAATTTTTAATTGAATTGGTGTTTTAGCTACTATGAGAAGTATGGACCTATCATTACCTTTTTTCAAAATTTTTGACAATGAAATAATCAAAGAACTCAGACTATGGTCTATATAGTATTTTATTGTTTTACAACATTTAAATAGAAGCTGTGATTACGATAAATATCACAAAATTTGAAACTTAATCAAGATATATTAAATAAATAAAATAAAATAAAAAAGAACTTTAGAAAATCAGAGAGCTCATATTATATATCTTGTTATAAGAACAAAAATTTCATGTATAATCTGTAATCCAAATTTCAAAATCATATTTTGTGATCCAACCTTCCCTTCACTTGCTCATTTCTTCCTCCTTTCATTACATGCCTTCAAAGCTCCAACCTCTGTCAAAAGAAGAATTTTCCACCAACATTATATAATACTGTACCAATCGACATTAGCATTTTATACTTCAGTCATGTATGTATGTATGTATATATTTATTAAGTTATATCTATGTCACAAAATAATAAGTTGTGAAGTACTGTTTTCGAATAGAATCTCCACAGCCACATTATATATACATATATATATATATATGAACACCCAGATACACAGTGCGATGCAAAAGGTCAAGCACCCTTTGTGTATGATATTCAAATCTCATTCTTTGCAATTAGGGAATAACAAAATTCACAGGATAAAACAAGAAATACCACTTTAAAAGCAAGTGAAGATTCCGAAACAAAATTTAGGGAATAAACAGTGAAATTGACAAAACACCCAATCGATTTGATGTGGATTTCTCGCTTTTTCACACAGCATGATCACGCAGCGGTCCCAAGTTCGTAATAGGAATTTGAAATAATGCTAAAACCCTAGATTAATAGATAAAATAAATGAAAAATAGATTGCAAGAAAGTAAATATTGTGTTACCTTTCTGACAAGATTTCCAATTCCTATTATTCTGAACAAGACAGTCCTGCAAAAAAGAAGAGAAGAACAAATTGTTAGGGTTTAGTGTTTTAAATTGAAAGGTTATAGAATATCGTCGCCTGTTGAGCGAGGGAATAACTAATTACCTGTAACGACAAATAGAGAGCAGAACATTCTTTGAGCTGCTTCACGTTCTCATCATCGTCATCTGCTTCCATCTGGTGAACAGGCGGCGTGTGCGATGGAAACTGAGACTGGGACTGGTTAATCGGGTTTGGGTTTGAATCCAGGGGGTGTTTATCCATTTTCAGTGATAAGTCTTTTGATTGTATTACCGAGCAGTAACGAGTTAATAATGTTAGTCTTCTACTTCCTTTTAAGAAGAGCTGCCTAATCCCTAATGAATATTTATCTTCGCCAAAACGTAAATCCTTCTTCTCTTTTCCTTCACACCATCTTCTTCCTCTTTTTCAGCGTCGCGTATTCTCCCTCCTCAGATTGCCCATTCCCCAATCACTTTCCTTCCACGCTTCTTGATCCCGCCAGCCACCTGCTTCCTTTCCTTCCCCTTTTTTTTCAAACCTAAACCTTCTTTTCTGCCTCGTTGTCGACGCAGAGGGAAGAAAGCTGCAAAGCCTCCCAGAAACGACGTCGTTTATATGAAGGCTCTTATGAATCCCTAATGGGCTAGGCATGGCTTGACAATCTGGTCTTTTTGTGTTGCTGGGCTATGTAAAAAAAACTATTATTTTATTCCTTAGAATATTCGTTATATTACAATTAGTTTATATTTTTTTATTATATATAAAATTATTTCGATTCATATAACTGTAAAAATTTTGTATAAAAAAATTTATTTTTGTTTGGTCCATACCGTTTTAATAGAATTTAGAAAGTTGTAACAACTAAAGAATAATTTTACTAAAATAATTGATTTTTTAATTTAAATAATTCAGATTATAATAACAGACACTATAATGAAAAAAAAAAGTTTTCAGTAATTATTTTACTTTTATAATTTCTAGTCCTGAATATAAATACTATATTTTTAAAAAATTATTTTTATGTTTATGAAATAATAAGAAAAAGTCTTTTGCTATTTTGTAAAAGAAAAATTAAAAAAAAACATATTTTTAAAATAATTTGGTAAGTCCACGATTAAATTTTAAGGAACAATAAATTTGAGAACAAAATTATAATATAACTCATGTTTCAAATACTAAATTAATAATTTGCACATAAAATACTATTGACAGTTTTAAAAATTATGTACGGAGATAAATAATAAGTTAAAATATATCTTGTTTTTATTTATGATTAAAAAAATTTTAAAAAAATCTAAATAACTTATAAATAAAATATTTTTAAATAAAAATATATTATTTAATAATCTTTTTTGACAAATTTAAAAGATGATGATTTTATTATTTTTTATATAAAAATTAAAAATTAATAAAATTCTTAAATTTCTTAAAATCGTAGAAAAAATGAAATAAAAAAAAACTATTCAAATAAATTCATCAATATAATAGTAATAATAGGTAAGATATAAATATTAAAAAAAAATAAAGTTATTCAACACCATTAGCATAAATAACAATAATGAATGACAACTAGTGGTTTGAAATGAACTTCAAGCTTTTTATCTTTTAGCACATAAGAAATGTTAATTATGCTCTTAATTTTTATTTATAGTATAACATCTCTTGTTCTCCTAATTTTGAGTCTAAGTTTATTTATATTCAATATTTATTTGATAACAATTATCATATCTACAATAATCATTAAAGAAATTTTCAGCTTATAAAACATTGTCAATATATTAATATTTGATACAAACTAATTGTGTACATATTTCAATGTTCTCTAACATCCACACTAATAAAAAACTTAATATAGTACATTATATATAATCAATTAATTTATCATGTGAAAATTTGTAGTAAAATATTTATTAAATTATATATCAACTTAAAATTCATATATTCTAAAAAGGATTATAAGGTATAAATCTAAAATAATTGAACTAAAAAATAATAAATTACATAAAAAAAAAACTTCAAAAATCAAAGTTAAATGAGATAAACTAATTAAATAAAACATCTAACATAAGTTATCACTCATGACCATATAGTGTGCATTAGTTATGCATGGGTCTCTTAATCACCAACGATCACCCTTTTTACCAAAAGACTCGTATAGCAATGGATCATTATTGTTTTTATATGTCATAGCTAAGAAGGTAAAGATTTAATAGGCAAAAATATTCTTTTATTTTTATCTTTTATAGTAAATAAAATATTTTTTTTACTGATTGTCAATCACTAATTTTGATAGTAGGGCGGTATAAGCCAACACCGGATGATTATGAGCAATTTGAGATAAATTATCAGCTAATGATATTCATTATATTTTATAAGTATATATGCATCTAATACTATATATTTTTTATTGTGATGTAATAATTTTTTAAGAATTATTCAAATTAGTTATTTTGTTCGTATATGTTAACTAAGTTAAACAATTTTTTTTTTTTCTTAAAGATAGCTTTAGGTGAAGTTTGCTTATTAACCATTACTGATAAGGTGAGTAATACTCCTTAGAGGAAAAGTTGTAGTTTTATTTACACTAAGATTTAATTGCTCGTATTATTTTTTTTGTTTTATTTATAAAATTGTAAATTATAATATTACCAGTAAACTTATTTTTAGTGTGGATTTCTACTCAAATTCATAAATTTAATTACAACTTCATGAATCTAGTTATGCATTTTTACTTTTACAAGCTATCCTAAACTAAGAAAAGGTTTGAAGAAACTTGGATTTGACTTTAAGTTTTAGTTTTAGATATAACACAATAAGGTTATGAATATTTTTTTTTTATAAATTTATGAATTAAATTATATATTTTTAAAAATTATCAAATTCTACTACTAAGTTATTTTGTTTTCATAATCGAATAGCTCTAACCCAACCATTTTATATATTTACTGTTATTATTCGTCTATATAATATTGTCAAGCACATAGTTATTTATTCTTAATTTTGTGTGTATTATTTGTTCAATCCTAATTATTCTATTTTCTTTTCCTTATGATAGTGGTTGTTCTCCCTCAACTTACTATGAATAGATTAGATCAAAATTTTCTATCCTTATAAAGTAAGGTTAGTTTCTTTACATTAAATTATTTTATTCTTATTTTTCAATTAATCATTCTATAATAAGATGAAATATTTCTATGCACTTAATAAATAATATCATTTTTATCTTGAAAATTATTTAAATAAATGAATATATATATACATACATACATGCTAAAGGCTACTATTACCTCTAAGCCAATAAAAAAGGCAATACATAACTTTTTTTTTTAGGATAAAGTGAAAGTTTAGGTAGAAAGTATAATTTACTTAATGTAATGATTATGTCATATTTTATAGTAAATATGTGATAATTATTATATTAAATGAAGTAAATATTATAACGTTTGAAAATTAAATAAATACGTTCATCTAAAAAGATAGTAAAAATTAATTAAAGTATAGGATGATTGCTCAAAATTATAATATTTAATTATTTTAATAAATATTTCGTAAAAAATGTTTATACTAAATTCTATATTAAAATAAATGCAAGTAAAAATATCAAATATATGAATGCATTAAATTAATTAGTAGGTGTGTTTACCTAAGATATTCAATGATACATCGAATAGATTAGCAATGCTAGAAATAATGTTAGTACTCTCTCTCTCTATATATACATATATTCAAGTAATTTTTACATCTATGTGTTATAAATATATTATTTTCTCATAAATTTTATTAGTCAAATTCTATTAGGAAAAATGCACTAATAATAATAATAAATTTTTATTTTATGTGCTGGTAAATTTGCCCATATTGGACTAGATTAATAGAAAAATTGCCTATTTTTCTCGAGAAAAAAATAAATAACAAAGAAAATTTGCCCAATTTTTATCAACCAACCATGGTTAGTTTCACGGAGCAAAATTCCGGCAACCATGGTTAATAGGCTAGGCTAGCGAATAAATAATAAAAATCCCTCAGCCCAAAAATTTCTATACAAAGAAAAGAGAGTGGGAGACGTTCAATGCTCTAACACAAATATATGAAATAGAAAAAAAAAAAATATATATATATATATTTCTATACAAAGAAAAGAGCTAGTATTTTTTCTCGTGTTCTCCTCTTCTTGCGAGATTGGGCATAACTTTGATTTCTCGAACTTTATAGCTGAAAATCTGGTATGCGTCGATCGTTCGATTCCGATCATGAATCACATATTCTCTCGCACTTCGTTTCTGGATCCTTCTGTGTATAATCAGTGACCTTATGGATTCTTGAATATTAATTGTATAAGATATTTTTTGATGTAATCGGTTCATTTCGATGTTAGATTCGTCTTGAATTCAAACATTTAGTGGATAAATTACGTGCGCTTGCTATTCGGTTGGACTGATAATGTATTTGTTACTGAATTTTCGCTTCTCGCTACTCTTTATTTGTGATTGATTTGGGATTTTTCTTTTGTTCTTTATGCAGAAGTCGGATTATCAACCGTTTTCATTTCTATACCTAGATATAAAGGTACGTGCTATTGTCTTTGTTGTCAAAGTTCTTAATCTGGATTTTTCAATGATTTAATCTGTATTTGATATTAGGTGATGATCTAATCAACTGCTTCCTTATCCAATTTCTATGATGAATTTGGATTTTATTTCGTTTTTATTTTGGTTTGATTGAATGCCTGATTGTTATTTTGGTAATGCATTGTCAAAATGATATACGGTAAGGTTTGAATAGATTATCATGTCATTTAAGGATAGTATTTTTGCAGATAAGAAAAAATGGCGTCAATGATTGCTAAAGGTAACAGTAGTAGCGGTAGTAGCAGTCAAGTGTCTCCTTTGGTATCAGTCCAAGAAAAGGGAAGTAGAAACAAGAGGAAATTCAGGGCTGATCCTCCTTTAGGTGACCTGAATAAGATCATCTCTTTGCCTCAAAATGAGTGCCCAAACTATGAATTCTCAGCCGAGAAATTTGAGACTGCCCCAGTTCACGGACAAGCAAGTGCCTGTGATGTGTGCGGTGTTAATCAAGATCATTCTGATGGGTTGAAACTTGACCTTGGATCGTCTAATACAATAACTTCATTAGACTTTGTGCCAAGCCGACCTAGAGATGAGTTAGAAGCAGATGAGTTTCAAGATGCTGATTGGAGTGATCTTACAGAAAGCCAGTTAGAAGAACTCGTATTAAGCAATTTAGATGCTATTTTCAAAAGTGCAATTAAAAAGATTGTTGCCTGTGGTTATACTGAGGAAGTTGCTACAAAAGCTGTTTTGAGGTCTGGCCTTTGTTATGGCTGTAAAGATACTGTTTCAAATATAGTAGATAATACATTAGCATTTCTTCGAAGTGGTCAAGAGTTTAATCCCTCAAGAGAGCACTACTTTGAAGATTTGCAGCAGTTGGAGAAGTATATATTAGCAGAGTTGGTTTGTGTTCTAAGGGAGGTTAGGCCTTTCTTCAGTACAGGAGATGCAATGTGGTGCTTGTTAATCTGTGACATGAATGTTTCACATGCTTGTGCAATGGATGGCGACCCATCTAGCAGTTTTCTTAGTGAAAGAGGTTCAAATGGGAGTTCCTCTACTTCCACACAACCTCATTTGAAAACAGAAGCTAAAAGTTCTGAATTGGACCTTCCAAATCCTTGTAAACCAGTGCCATCAGTTCCTTGTTCTCATACTTTGCAACCTGAGGTACCCACCTTTGGGGCTCCAAACATAAACCCCAAGCCTAAAAATTCTACTTTTCTTGGGGGAATAGGCTCAGATAAAGAGAGCATTACTTCCTTGTCTGATGCTGTGGATAATAAAACGTTTACTGCAGCTCTACCTTCTCCATCTGCTTTGACAGAAGAAAAGTTTGTTAGTAGTAGAAAGATGCATTCTGGTAGCACAAAGAGAGAATATATACTTCGACAGAAATCTCTTCATCTTGAGAAAAACTACCGGACTTATGGACCCAAAGCATCTTCCAGAGCTGGAAAGCTTAGTGGTTTGGGTAGTCTAATCTTGGACAAGAAACTTAAGTCTGTCTCAGATACCTCTTCTGTTAATATAAAGAATACTTCCTCAAAGATAAGTACGGCAGTGGGGGTTGAAGGAACCCAAGATAATGGGAACCAGAATTTTTCAACCAATCCAGGAGCATCTTCTGCAGTATTCTTGGAAAACATGAGTACTATTTCAGCATCACCCAAAAGCAATATAGTATCTGCATTACACCCAGTAAATGGACCAAATATAGTTCCTGCAGTTAATAATCCTCCGGTATTGTCAATTGCTGATACTGAACTTTCTCTTTCGTTGACTTCCAAAAGCAACTTTGCTTCTGTTCCTGCAAACTCTGATGCTGAGGCACCTAATTGTAATTATGCTGGTATACCATATGATAAGTCTCTTGGGCAATGGATGCCTCACGATAAGAAGGACGAGATGATTCTGAAACTGGTTCCTAGAGTGCGGGAAATGCAAAATCAGCTCCAAGAATGGACCGAATGGGCCCAATCAGAATGTTATGCAGCTGCACGTAGACTGAACAAGACAA